TATCGTCTAAGTTACGCAAAAATGAAAATAACACTGACATCGCATTTTAACAGATATATTTACCAAAATTACACAAAAATATCTTGAAATAGTAAAGAGTAAATTCATTAAATAAAATCGCCATTGACTTCAATCACGGCCTCCAGATGACTTCGGAATCTCCTGCAACTCTTCTAGACGATCTCTTTGTTTAAGTTGGTGAATATTGTCATAACAATTGCCTTCAGTTCATCTTTGGTTTTTACAAGGAGTTTGCGCTCCACACATAACAATCAGTATGGGGAGTTAGGTAGCTAGATGTAAACGGTGATGTGGTCGCTAAAATTGTTTGATAGCCATGAATTGGTTCTCCTGATAGTGTGGCATGGTGCAGAGTCCTGTTGCCAGATATAGGGTCTTCCAGCAGACACCCTCTTGACCCAGGGCAATACTACCTCCTCAAGGCACTTGATGTAGGCCTCAATGTTGAGTCTGAGGCCCTGCCCAACATATTCCGTATTTCTTTTCTTATCATAACGATCAGAACGATTACTAAGGTACGGTAGATCAGAATGTGTTTTCCGAGCTACCGTACCTTAGTAATCACCATTAAATTCACCCAACTCTTTCCAAATCCACTGCACTATCCTCAGATTGACACCCAAACACTTTGAAATGTTAGTATTCGAGATTCCAGCACGAATGCCAAGAGGTACAGCATGTTATTTCCAAATTTTTGGTAGAGTGAATTATGTCATAGAGCTCTTTTACACTCAAACGGTGCCCAACTGACCCTACTATACTGAGCAGTAGACATAAACAAACACAAAAAACAACCATGCACGAAATTAAAGATATAAAATGGAGATATTTTAACCTGTATGTGTGTGCGCGCGCGCGTGCGCAGGTGGTATAATGAATAGCGGCCCAAAATGAAAAATCGGAAAGCCGAGTTCGAAATCCAGTCGAGGTCGTTGCATTCACTTAAGTGTAAATAACCTTGGTAAAGGTATGAATCTATCTCTTCCTATCTCCCTCTTGCTATGGGTTAAATAGTAGTACAGACCGTTCTCTTTAGATTTGCTTGGTAACCAGTCTAGGAAAAGGAAAACTGCTTCAGTACTAATCTGGATATATTGTACCTGTTAAGTCTTTGAGATTTAGCTTTGTTGTTGTGAGTAGTTGTAGTGTTATGCAAGCCGGTATACGAATATAATTACAGCACAGACATTGCTTGTTAGTAATAGTCTTACTCATCTAACGAGTCTACATGTTTTATGTATGTATGTATGTCTGGGTGAAGATGTTTATCATCGTCATGTAGTGAACATCCGCTATGTTTGTATGTATCTAGCCATATCTACCTACATACGAACATGTATCACTCTCGAAAGGTAATACATCAGCCTATATTAGTATATTTTCATATATACATATATATGTGCGTAAATAGATAAATAATTCCTTTTTTTATTTCAAAATGAAATACGTACTCTCACAGAGATTTTTAAAAAGGCACAAAATCTAAATAAAAGTAAATTTAGAATTTATTGTACATTAATCTCAAATTATAACGTCAAAAGGGAGATCAAGAGCGATAAAGATAGGAAGATCGTATATCACCATTTTTTTAATCAATTCACCCCATGCAAGGTGATAAAGCCACTAAGACGCAAAGGTTTCCTAAATGTAAAAGAATGTGAGAAAAAAAAAGCATTATTAAGCAGAGATAACAATAAAAGAACAGGAATTAAGAAGACAGAAGATAACGATTGACACTGCATTTACATTTTTGAAGATCAAATTTAACTGGAAAGCAAGAAACCGGAAAAGAGTTCCACAAGCAAGAAGTGCGAGAGAAGAAACTGTTAGCATAGAACTTACGGTTACATCTAACCATTTCGATTGTAAAAAGATGAGACTTTTGCCACCAATTTAGTATTGTGCTTAAAATCATAAAGTCTGGGTACTAAAGAGGAAATTTTCATCAGAATAATTACCATGAAAATATTTATCGAAAAGCCATAGCGAAGCCATGTTATAGTGGTAGGAAAGGGACTGAAGCCGAGATACTAGATCATGACTAATAACAATGCAAATCCTTGTTTGTACTTTATCTAGAATCTCTAAATATATAGCAGATGTAACAGACCAGATGTGGCCGTAATGTCCAATATATGGGGGATTGGTAGAATTATAAATATGTAAGACAGATTCTGGCCAGAAAAAATTCCTACTACGACACGAGCAAACAATTTTCCTATCAGCAGTCTTAGCAATTGATTCAATGTAATCTTTTCAGTTTATGTCAACGCAAGACGTTCGTTCGAGAAGGCGCACCGAGTCACTCTCCTGGAGGTTAGCATCAGCCATATTGATGGAAAGCAAAAGGGTTGTTTCAGACGATTAAAGGAGAGCGGTCCCATTTCGGAGGCGTTAAAATTAACAAGCTATTCCTCGCCTAGGATCAGCTGCCAATTTAACATTATCGAGCCGATCAGATTTACTATTAAGACAAGAGGAAATAGTTGTGTCATCAACATAGATACACTTGACATTAGGAATGTCTTGGACGAAAATTAAGAACAACGTACATCCAAGGAGAGATTTTTTGAACTACCCAGTAAGCTTTCAAATTTTAAATGTTTTAAGCATATATTATTATTAAATTTTAGGTATGTTGGCTTTATAGACTTACTGACAAAGATGCTTGTTGAGGAAAAGTTAGAAAATTACGAATAAATTTTAAATTTGCTATAGTTAGCGTTCATATTTTTTGATAATGTTGGACATGGACGTCCGTATTTACAAAAATTAGCAATACATTTTAAAATACTGGGGGTTGATAAATTGTAGTAAGCTTTTCCATTTATGATTATTAAATACAGTTTTAATTAATACTGGATTTTAAAAGATTTAAAAGTTTATGATTTATTCTAAGTAAAAATTTAAATAAATGAAAATAATTCTTGTAAAAATTCGTTATTTATGGAAAACAAATAAGCGTTGCAAAAACGAATTTCTCGAAATTTCATAAAATTGAAGTGGTGATCAGATTTAAAAAAAAATTTTTCACTAAGATTTTCTAAAAAAAAAAAAAAACTTTTAATTTTTTTTTTTTTTTAAATCCATTTTAGAACCTTCGAAATTCTGTTTAAAAACTTGCACCAAGGGGTGGGATAAATTATTATAGGAACAATGAGTTTAAGGTCATAGCATTTCGTCACTCGTAAAAAAAAAAAAAAAACCTACCTAAAATTTCTTCCTTCAAATTTTAAAGCATTCCAATCATTTAAACTATAGTTTTTCAAGGAAAAAAGGTGCGAAATCTCTTTCTTTCTTTCTTTCTTTCATTTTTTTTTTTTTTTTTTTTTTTTTTGGTGTGATCACCTATTTCGAAAATCACCAAATGTGCAAACAGTAGAAAAATACAGTAAACAAGTAAGTCAGTCCAGAAATACGCCATATTGCAGGCTGGCTCAAGACAGTGTCGACACGTGACACCTAGCGGAGTAATACACAACTACATCCAGTTCGCGTGCCACATTAGAATTCCAGCCTTTTAGGGAGTGCCTTCTCATAGATGACTCAGATAGTGTAATTTAGAATAAGTATCTGATCTGAACAGATATGTTATGACTCATCCAAACACTATGTTGGTATAATTAGATATGCCTCTTTAAGAGTATATATATATATATAAACTGTTTGACTGAAAAGAAAATAGACTTGCTGTGTTCGGGGTGAGGTGAGAAAGGGATAAGCGGATTGTGTTATCCTATAACATCATATCTTGGAAGTATCTGACTGTAATCTTAGTTTTCTGCAGCAATTGCATTTTTTTTTCACATGTTTTGTAGCAGGACAAATATAGATGCTACACCACGACAATGCATCTGCTCACAATGCCCTGAGCATCCGGCAGTTCCTGGCCGAGAAAAACATCGCCGTACTGGAACAATCTCTCTATTCACCTGATCTTGCTCCGTGTGATTTTTTTTCTTTTCCCCCAAGCACAACGGCATTATTATGGGACTCGTTTTGAAAGTGTGAAGGCCATGAGGGCCATAATGACGGAGCTGACGGGGCATTAAAGAACAATCCTTCCAGGAATGCATAGAAGCGTTACAAAGAATGGTGGGAAAATGCATTAGACTTGAGTGGGATTACTTTGAATGGGAAACCATGTGATTTGTTGTTTGGAATTAAAACAAATTGTTTGTGACACCAGTCCCGTTACTTTTTCAGAGAGATCTCGTATATATATATATATATATATATATATATATATATATATATATGTTAATTTGAAAAACTGCTTTTGAAGCCAAAATTGCTGGTGTGTGTGTGTGTGTGTGTGTGTGTGTGTGTGTGTGTGTGTGTGTGTGTGTGTGCGATTATGTGTGTGTAATTTTAACACGTTGTTTTATTGTTAATCTTTCCATGGTTGAAATTGCCAAAGACTCAAGTTGTTAAATCTGAAAGAAAAAGAAAAAAATCATTTGACGCTTAAACTTAATTCACATTTAAAATCGGTCCAAGTTATTGGAACAATATATATATATATATATATATATATATATATATATATATATATATATATATATATATATATGTAAGCAAATGTAAATGGATATAGATCCGACAGAATGAAGAAAAATTTGGAAAAAAAACAAACAAAAATCCTTAAATGCAATTATGTTGTTTAAAATGAATGAAATGTCGACGTCTGACGTTTCGGTTTAACAGAATTCTTTACATTTTCTTTTTCATTCAAAATAATCAAAAACTTTTAGGAATA